TTACACCCCAAGGTTGGTAAACGCCTCCTTTCCTGTCTTTCCCTGGTTTTCTTCTCCAGGATCAAACTGGAATTCCAGCCCACATTTCCAGGCTGAACCCTGCTAGCTCTGCATTACTTGATTCTGTTTTATTTCAAGTCTCCTCATTTTCTTCTTTCCAAATACTCTGCATGTTTCCCATTTTCCTTTCATCAGTTCTACACAATTACAATGTCATAGGCGCACAGTGGCCTGTTTCTTCTCACTTATAAAAGATATCTCCTTACTGACCCCATTACACAATTCTAGCAGCCCATCTAACTAGTTACCAGTTTTAAAATATGTGTGTTTTGAAAAACACTACAGTAAAAAAGTCTATGTGTGTGTTTGCTGGACGAGATAGATGTGGGGTTTTGGTTCAAGGGAAGATGTAATTACAGCAAAACTTTTGCCTTTCATGTCAATGCATGTGGACTCGATAAATATTGCCTGAGGATTCCATGACTAAGCACTGGGAGGGCAGAGAAAGAATCTGGTAAAATCTCCATTGTCAAGGTTTGCAGCCCCGCAGGGGAAGGAGACAAGAAAACAGCCACTGTCAACTCAGGACAAGCGGCATGAGCCACCTACACCCAGGAATGGGACAGAAGTTCTCAGGAGGCTCCCAGCCCATGCTCAGATGAGGACCAGGGACGATTCCCTCATGCTGAAGCAAGGCCTGAGTCCAAGACAGTGGGAAAAGTTTACAGCCTTGGTGTGGACAGTCACACACAAAAACATGCTGCATAGAAAGATCCACAGAGGACAGTGGACACTGTCTTTCATGCGTTCATGTACGAGACTTGCTTAAATTCTACAAAAAGTCACAAACAAGATTCTGTTATTGTGGAACTGGTTATATTTGACTGTGATTTATAAAACAGATAATAATTACATAATTATGATTTAATCAAATGATCTCTGTGAAGTTACTCTTATTTTTTTACTATCCATTTTTAATTCACGTTGTTTTGTGTGAGTGTGTATGTGTGAGTGTGTATCTTTGTAAATTCATTTACATTCTTTGGGGGATAGGGTGGATACAAAGAGACAATGAGACAAACAATCAAAGTACAAAAACATTCTCTGGGACTGACTGTAAGTAGCCACTTTGAAGTCCCAAAAGCTGGCTGGTCAACTGCAGGGTCAGCTAGGCCCCAAACGGACAAATTATAGCCAAGCGGAGCCGGAACATCACAGTGCTCTTTCTCAGATCACATGACACCCTGCCATCCATCCTACGCCAATCACAGTTGACCATGTATCCCCGGCAGAGTCAGGCACAGGAGTAGGAAGAGGTGGGCCTCAGCCTGTAAGTGGATGTGCAGCTCGGGTTGGAAGTCCATGCATGCCTTCGCCCTGGGACTTCTTGGGGTTTTCAATGTGTTAATGTTCACTGTGATGTTTCCAGGGACGCCTGCTTGCTAAGAAGCCCCTAATCCTGCCTGAGCCAAGACCTTCTCAGTTCTTGCAGGGCTAGAGTTACAGCAGCCTCTGCACACTCTCTGCTTACAGCAGGACCTCCCAGGTAGACAGGGATGCTCTGCTGTCAAGCCTGACTGTGTTTCACAGCCTGCCCTCTTGCCTCCTGGCTAGGGGAATCACTCCTGCCCTCAGGGCCTGAGACAGGAAGTACTGGAGAGGTCTCCTCCAGCTCTTGGAGACAGTCCTCAGTCTGCAGGGGCCAGGAACTATGCCCTGAAGTGTTTGTTGACTGTGTCACTACGGTGTTTGTGTTGGTAAGGACCGACTCATGCCAGGCTGTACCCGACTCTTCTATTAGGGATGGTATGAAATGTTTTTACCATGTTAAATGGTTTAAACCATATTTAGAGGGCCTTTTATTTTTTTTTCCATTTTGTCTTTAATATGGACCTTTGGTTGAAATTACAGTTTTGACATTTAATAAACAAAGTACTCAAAATAAAGCAAAAATAAAGTATTGAGAAGCTCTTGGTACTGGAACAGTCTCCACTCCCGTGCAGTCTGTGTCATGACTGATGCTCTTGCTAAAGGCACACCCACAGCGACTTCATCACTGCATATTTATGTTGGTGTGTGATGTAGCTAACTATTTGTTTAAAAATTCTTTCCATGGACTTCTGGAAATATAAAGGAATCTGGGTGCGGTTCTCATTCCTCAGTATTCACAGACACAAGCAGCCAGGTGTTTCAGGGTTCATATATCTTCTCTCCCAGCAGGTACCCAGGTTTGGGTTGGAAGCAAAGCCTGCAGGCTGCCAAGTTTCCTGAACATTCGAAGTAAGGTATAGACTTCTCTAGTTTTTCTTGAAATGTAGGAATAGATACAAATGGTAACTTAGGTAGTAAATTAAGAAAGCAAGATTTGGGGACCTGACTGTGTATTCTTTGGCATAGAAGAAAAGGCCAGAGCAAGAGATCAATCTGCACATAGTTGAAAGCATAAACATCGTGGAGTGAGAACATTATTTGGCCTGGGGGGCACAGGTTTAGCAAGCGTTCGAAGCAAGAAATGACACTGTTAACTGCCATCGGAAATTGGAAACAGCATTAATAAAAACCAAAGGAGAGGAAGGGGGCACCTTGCCAGACACACGGATCTTACGCTGGGGCACATGCTCCAAGTCCATTCAAGGAGAATATTATGATTCTCTAATATCATTCTGGTGCTCAGCTCATGACTAGGAAACCCTTCTTGGGGTTTTAAGTTAGGGGCTTTCCAAGTGAGGAGCACGGACCATTAACTTCGATGCCCACACACTCTGCTCTAGGAAAACAGCTCCGATAGCATCCTTCCCTGGGGCCTAGATAAGACCTAAGGTTGCATGGAGGATAGGAATCTACCCTTCATGGCAACGTGCAGTATCCCAGACACCGTGAGGATTGAGCTCTCATATATCACTGATCATTAGATACGGGTAAGTACAATTACTTGGCATTTTGGCATTTCATTTCTCAGAGTTACTGAGTAACCAGCAGCTTGCAAAAATTGATTCATTCCTTCATTCAAGAAACACGTTTGGGGCCTTGTTTTGTGAGATACAGAATGGCTTGATCATGAAGCTGATGGAACTCTCTCTTCTCCAGAGCCTTGTCCAAGTTGGCATCCACAATTTTGCACTCATTTTCCTTGAAGAAAAAGCTGTATAATTTTTAAGCGCTCCCAAATCTCAATCAGCCTCTTGTAGAAGCACTAGAGAAAATGCACAGGAATTTCACAACCATCAGCCGAACACCAGGGCAGCTCTGAGTGGAACAGGATGTGGATGGAACCCACAGGAAACCAGCTGGGCCCCTCAGCACCCCGAGACCTGGTGCTGGTCCTCATCATCAGCCCTGGTGCCTTAGTGGTTAGTGACGTGGCAGGCGCAGGCTGTCATTACCCTGAACTCCGGCCTCTGGGTGACACTGTCTTCCACCAGCCCAGGAACTGCTTATCTTAATCATATCACTGTAGTCTGGACTGCTCCCGGCTGGAACTGCAGGGTCATGGGGAAGGACCAACAAAGTCACCGCTCCGCTCCCTGTGCTGCTAATTGCTTCCACGGTCTCCTCAGGCCCGAGGGGACACAGAGAGCTCTTCACTAACTGTCACCTACTGGACAAGCATGGGGTGGGGGACAGGCTGGCGTGCACTTTTGTACTTAGATAGAAAGCTTGCTTTCTTCTTGTGTGTGATGTGAGCATGACCAGGCCACTCTGATCCATCTTCAGAGTGTGGCTGAAATATCTGGAATGTCATGCTCTAGAACTTTAGGTCTAGAAACCCAGGCTGTGTTCTGGAATTAGGCCTGGGTGAACTTCTCCAGTCAAATGGGGTCTCCGGAGCCATTGGCTTTGAAAGAACAGTGCCCATCACAGGGACAGCTGGACCTACTCGCTCACGGAGCCCGGCCTTCTCTTTTACAGGAAGAGCATCGATGTTTTCCACCGAGTCCCTGGGAATGTGGCACATTGCACCAGGTGGATCCCGGTTGGATCAGGAGTGGGCCCTCCATGGTCTGAACGGGTCCAGAGAGCATTTGGTGGAGGTTACATCTGTCACTTGTCATTTGTCTTCCATCAGGAATGTCTGTGTTCTTGTTTTTTCCCCTTTCATCTAAGAAAGTAGCACTTAGTAAATAAAACTTCTTTCTCAGAGCCTTTATTTCAAAATTATTAATTATTACCGTTGTTTCTCTCTTTCCCTCTCTCTGCCATCAATCCCGCCTTTCAAGATGGGGAGCAGGGTCTCTTTGCTCCTTACTTTAGGGAAGCTTTGGCACTTCTAGGACTCGCCTCTGAAGGGCTGCTGGCCACACAGCTCCTTAACCTGTCTGTAGAACAGGAACCAGGAAGTTACCTGAGTGGTAACAAAGAGCCAGGTGTGTTGGGTCACACCTGCTCCCTTCCAGGGCACTGTGTCCTTGAGAGAACAGAGCAAGACCCACCCTGGTGGCTCCTGGGGAGCAGAGGTGAAGAGCTCATGAGAGCATAGACAGTACCCTTGTCTGGTTTGCCTCTTGCATTTGCCCATTAATAATCAACCAGCTTTTTTACAAACATAAAAGCTAACATTAATCCTTGCAATAGCTTCCTATTTTTGGAGTGGAGCTATTTTTACTTGAAAGAAGAATTAAAACAACACGTTGGAAGATACCGGATTTACTCTGGTGTGAAAAGCTCAAAGTGCTGCAGGGGAGGACAGGAGGTCCTTACTTGTGCATTAAAGACGAGGAAGCAACTCGGGAGGGTGTGCCCTGCAACCAGTGTTGCCAGGGGCAGGCCATTCAGCTGTGCCTTGCCCACTCTGTGGACTGGTTTTTGGTTCCGAGATACTGATGCACATACAAATACACCCTGGACTTAACCCTGGACTCCAAAGCAACATGTGCAAAAATGTCAGGGGGCTGTGCCATGCCTCGAACAGATGGGAGGGACTGGGCAGGAAGGGATCTGTGAAGGGCTGGACATTCGCTTACTAAATCAGAAAAGTTCGCCTCTTTATTTGGTGCTAAAAGCACACATGTGCGGGCTTTCTTATATCCAGCGTGTTGCTATCATTCAGGTGTATAATCACACACACACACACACACACACACACACCAAGAAAGAACAGGCAGCCGTCCAGGATTTCCGCAGCACAGTGCAGCACCAAGCGGGGCATGCTCAGCCCTGGGGGAAGGAGCCAAGAGACCTGCTTTTGTTGGCTGGGGACTGCTGGCACGTGAAGCCTGGGGTCCCACTCTCTCTTCCCCCCAAAACACAGGCTGTCTGCACTGGTTATAAGTGTGAGGAGAGGAAACTGGGGAAATAGCACTTTGTGTAAAAATGACCACAACTCCGGGTGGGAGGAAGGAGTGGGCAGAAGGAAGGAGGGCTTTTCAGAAATGCGTTTTCTTAAGCAACCAGAATAAAAAACGCCACCAACACTGTTCTCCAAAGCTCCCCAACCACTTCGGCATCTCTTGAATCCAGAGAAGAAAAGGCTGCTCCAGACCTGGTGAGCATTCTGAGGCAGGACCCAGCAGCCTGGTCAACCCTTCGCTCGTCAGCTTCCTGCGAAGAGCACCGGCTGACCCCTGGCTCGCCCCCTGCATGGCCATCCATCATGTGACAGACAGCCAGGGATGAGGAAAGTGCTGAAAGATACCCCCCAGGAAGGTGTGGCAAGAGCAAGCTCTGGAGCTCCGAGGTGAGTGCTTGATGGCTCAGCCAGAAGTCTCCCCAATATCTGTCTGGTTCTCACAACAGGATGACATTGAAAAGTGCGTTATAGTTTCATGTGACATTTTCTTTCAGTTTTAGGGCAATTTTAACTTGCAGAGGCTTTATCACCTAAGGCTGTGACTGATTGTGACCTAGTTGTTTAAACATTCACGAGGGACAAAACGGGGAAGAGTCTGGAAGGACAACCACTGTGTGTGAGTGTGGAGAGTGGGGGATTTCGGGGTTGCAGGAAAGGAACGTGGAGAGTCACTCCTAAGTCTTTCAAAATCCTTCTGACAGGTCAAGTGGGGGAAATTAAGATATGTTTAGATGAAAAGAAGTTAACCTGAACACTTCAGTAGAAATTTGGGGTCTTTTGTTCCCTGAAGTTGAAGTATTGCATTTCTTGTAAGTTTCCTAACCTGTAACTGAAATCAATTGTGAGGTCAAGGAACGTCTGCGGAACAACAAATTCTGATTTCCTTCAGGCAACGAAATGCGGAAGTAGAGAGGGGACAAAGTAGGCTTTACAGGAACCACGGGGAAATTTCACCCAGGGTAACATTTATTAGCTCAGAATAGTCCAAACTCGCTTGAAATCACACACAGATTATAAAAAGCATTATCAATGGGTCGTGGACGAGGTTCACAGTGTTTCCAAAGTCAGCACTGTTTACATTCCTTATACCTACCACAGAAGGCTTACGTAACCTCTTTTCTCATAAGGATAGGTAACAGATTTTAAAATATTCCCATGAGGTTTCGCCTTACGGCAACCTAAACTGATTTCTTCACCGACAAAGGAAAATGACTGCTAGAGAATTAGCCAAAGAGCTATAGAATCACTGAAAACCAGCCTCCGACAGACGCTGTGATAGAAAAACACTTGCAGAGAGAAGTCAAAGTCACTCCTCTCCCGTGATCTAGACCCCTTACACCCGCGGCAAGCAAGACAACATCTGGATACTGTTTCACAGGCAAGAATAAAGTGCTCTTTTTTCTTTGCCCCATCATTAAGGGAAAAACCCGTTTTCCACAAGCAAACAACACTTGTTAACTTCCCCCAGATAAGCTTGGACGTCTTGAATGATTTAAGTTAAGTTTCAAAAGAATCTCAACTTTCTCATTGCCTTTAGAAGGAAAGTTTTTCAAAAATACCTCTAAAACGCTGCACGCCCCAGCGTGGGCACAAGCGTTGCCTCTTACCTGCAGAGATGGAAGGCGCAGGCTCCTGGACAGACGTGGAATTGTGGCAGCCAAGGGAAGGCTCAGTGGACGCAGGTTGCCCTGGGGAAGGTGGGTGCTGAGGGTTTCTCCAAAGGAAGAGGACTCCCTCACTGCTCACTGTCAGTCAAAAACAAGTTGGTACAAGTTTGAGGAGGAATTACCTGAAGGAACTGAAGAGAGAAAGAGATTGGGAGAGATTGGGCAGTGGAGGAGGGAGGGACAGAGAAGGAGGGAGGAAGGGAAGAGAGAGAGAGAGAGAGAGAGAAGGAATCTGAGAATGGAGTCCATGATGTCAGCGGTGTCTGCAGGTCTTAAGGAAACCTACAGCTCAGCACAGGATTCCGAGGGCACCCAGTCCCTGGCTCTCCAGACACCTGTGCAAAACAGGGCAGATGCCCTTTTTAAAGAATGCCAGTTAATCTCTGAAGAAACCTTGGCCACTCTTATCAAAGCCATTTTTAAGGTCCCTTGACCTAAGTAAACTACAAATAAATAACCAGATTACCTTTCCTAGCAAGCTCTCCCTTACCTCCAGTTCTGTTCTGCCGTCTTTCCCGTCTCCTCTCCTCAAATGCATATTCACAGAACTCCCCACCTCCCTGGGCAAGCAGGGCACACCCGCAGGAGCCAAACCTGGGCCAGGAAGCCTAAGCCCAATGTCACCGAGGGCAACATCGTTTTCTGATTTTTCTATTGCCTTTTTATTCCCTAATTGGGGGGGAAAAACCCACATAAAATAGTTGGACAGATAGATAGGAAAAACTGGGTTCTTCTGGATCGTGGGGATGGGGCTGGGGATTCATGCAGGACTTACCTAGGGTCCAGCCTTTTTGTGAGAAGTGGTGACATCCTTGGTGCAGATGCCTAAGGAGGGATCTTCTGGGGTCCCCTGTAAACCAGGCAGTGAGTGTCTTTCGATGGCCCAGCTACAGATCCTTCGCACACCAGGGGTCTTCATGCAGCCACCAGGTCGGGCAGTCCACGGAGCGCAGGCTTTCCTGGACTTCCTGCAGCAGAATGTTCGATGATCCCAGTAAATCCTAACAGGTGGCTGGTGCAAAGGTTATGTCAGGAGGAGCAAGGTGTCTGTCACAGAGGAGACAGTGACACACTCACATGTCCCCTGTCCAGACAACTCTGCCCACATGTCCTCTCTCTGCTCGTCATTCACGGCCCAACTCCTTATCACCCATCAGGTCTTCACCCACATGGCACCTGTCCAGGAGGTCCACATCTGAGGGGGCCCCAAACCGATCCTGCATCTCAGCACGCCTTTCTATTTTGTGTGGCACTTACCAGCCCCTCAAACGCTGTCATTGACTGTCTGTGTTCCATTTTGGAGCTTGACCATAGCTGTCCTGGTTACCAACCTCATCCTCATCACAGTTAAAGCTTCCAGGGATACCTGGCATGTCACAGACCCTCAAAAGAAAGAAAGCACACACACACACGCGCGCGCGCACACACACACACATTTGCCAAGTGGAATGATGAAAGATTGTAAATGGAGGATTTGATTTACTATAATCAAACTTTAATTCTTACCTTCTTTTATTTGATGACTATATCCAGACTCAGCTTCAATTAGCAAATTAACATTGAATATCCTCTCTCACCATATAAGACTTTTAAAGACATTATTACTTTGACCTCAGACCAAAATATAAGCATGATTTGTCATCTTTTAAGGGCAAGGAAATTACAGACATAGAGGGTAAGTGATTTGACCAAAGTCACAGAGCTACAGAGCTATGACTTCAGGCTCAAAACAGCTCTTCTGACTTTTAGTCCATGCACTTTATATTATTCTACATTTTTCTCAAATTAGACTATTGTGGGCATACATATGCATGTGTACATTCCTTTCAGCATCAAGTAATATGATCATAGCTTAGCACTCTAGCGAGTTTGTGTTCTGCAGGATCATGCACAGAAGACCTGATATTCATTCATGACACAGCCTTGAAGATGATACAAGAAGAATATGATGCCTAAGTAGCACGAATATCATAAAAAAATTAAATGTTAGGACAATATTGTTCACTTTGGTGGCGCTTACCTGTTTTCATTTGGTGACATACCAACCATTAGGTCTCAGGGTTGCCCATGTGACCACATTCACCAAAGAAGGTGAAACATTAGAAAGGCATAACTGGAGGGCTTGATAGTGAGTATGAAAATTCCATAATGACCCTCTCTGAGACATCTGTTTCAGGGGACAGACTTTGTTTTCTGTGTTTTAATAATGGAATGATCTGTCGGTTTCTGGGAATTTTTGAGGCTGAGGTAAATAAGAAAACTTTCAGTCCTGACAATGATATCTTGTCCCCCGATATCTGTCCCATCCAGGGAGTAAAATCTGTTTCTTAACATGGTTATAAGGGCTAGGGCCTGGGATTTACTGAATAAGATCACATGAAACAGCTAATCATTTTGCAATTGAAGATGGAATATGTTACTGATCTTTCAGCCTAAAATAAAACCAAACATAATCACCAAATCATCTTGTTTTCCACCTTCTCTCCCCGGTTCCTCTCTCTTTTTCTCCCTCCCTCCTTTTCTTTACCTTTTCTCTTTCTTCCCACCCCTCTTTCTTCCTTCCTCCAGTTAATGGAAAGCAAGACTTGTACGTCTCAACTCTGCACACATCATACATCTAAAACCTGCACTTCTATATGAATCTCTGAGAAGACAGCTGAGTACTGGGTAGAAAAGTTTATAAGCACCAGCATCTTCAAGAGCCCCATTTCCCAAGAATAATTTCCAAAAGGGAAAAAAAATGCTGTAGTACTTCCAATTCCCATCTTGGCTTGAGTTGAGACATAAAAAAACCTTGAAGTGTGATGAGAGAAAAAAAAATACATTTTTACCTTTGAATAGATTCTGCTTAAGTCGGGTTAGATAGAAAGCTATTTCTGGAGAGCTATGACAGTTGTTAGGACTCAGAACCTCCCAGAACTACATGGGCTCAGAGACCCACAGGTAAAGCCCAACATGGCCAACATGGTTGCCTCTGGTGTGCTCCCATTGTCCCTACCCAGAGGTGGGCAAATGGCACCTGGAGATACAGCCAGCTGTGCAAAGTCAACTGTGACCATTTTAACCCCTGCAAGACTATAGGCCAGAGGCGAGGACCTGCTTGTCTTGTCCTTCGTGGCAAGAAGCTGGCCTTAGGCAGCCATGAAACTGCACTCTTGTCCTAGGTAGGTTCTCTAGAAACAAAACTTGGGACAAGATACATGTGCGATTTGTTAAGGAAGTCCTCCTGGGGTAACCCAAAGGGGTACAGAGGAGCAAGTCACGGGATGAAGAAAGCCAGGGCCAATGGTAACCAAGGCCAAGTCCATGTCTGCCCGATCCCAGGGGAAGTTCCGAGTGAAATCAGCATCCTAGGTGAGGGGGCTGGGCTTTCACCCTCCTGCCAAGTCAGTCTCTGGCTCAGGGAAGAAGGGGGCCCTAGGAGCTGGCATCTTTCTGCACCTGCCATGGAAGTGGCTCCCATACCCCAGGGCAGGGGCAGCAGGCCACTGGAAGTCATGCCCAGAGGCACAGGAATGGCCCCCGGATGTAGTAAAAGGCCCTCTCGGGAATGCAGGCAAATCAGCAACCAGAGCTCACCGTGGGAATGCTGGGCGCTTCCCTTCCGTTGGTGCTCCAGTCTCCCAGCCCAAATAAAATCAGGAATCTCAGGAGGAAAATTGGGAATTTAAGATGCATGTGATTTACTCTGCTCGAGATAAGTTACTCAAAGGGCCAGGGGATCTTGGCAGGGTTTTCTTATCACTAACCCTTTGTTACTGATATTGTGTTAATTTAGTTTGATTAGTAACTAAATTTGGTGCCTTCTCCTTGCTGAATTAAGAAGGCCCCATAGTCCCCACACTATGCGAATTACTGTTGAGCAGAAAGATAGACACATAGCTAATCATGCTCTGGTATGTCAGTGCTAGTCCACTGGAGTATTCTAGAAGCCCACCGGAAGGGCAATTCCCCCCAGAGCTGTTGGTAGGCTTCCAGGGGCAGGAACAATTGACTGTAACCTACAAAGTTTCTATAGGTGGAATTAAAGAAGGACTGTAGACATTCCAGGAAAAGGGACTGGAGAAGATAAGATAATTAAGTCAAGATTTAAACGCCAAGTGACCTGACCTATGGGAAGGCCTAGCATGGAGATCTCACTTTGCTTCGCAGAGCCCAGACAGCAAGAATCACGAGAAGAATGAATTTGGTTGCAGAATCCCTTGTCTCTCATTGTTCCTAGGTCCCTTGGGAGAGACAGTCAGACTGAGCACAGCCTCCAACCTCCACCTGAGGCTTCCTCTTTTTCCTGCCACCAACCTCAACCCAGAGAATTCGTGCTCGGGGAAAATAGGGAGGCTGTTTTAGGGCTTGTGCATCCTTTAACCAGATAGCTCAAAAATTATGAAAAATGCAAAAATTACTTAGTAGAGATGTTACCTCAAGTTATTCCTTCACTGAAAGTGCTAGGAAATTCCCCAGCCCGGGTGGATGGCTGTGGCTGGTCATCCTATCCCTCCAGGCCTCCTCAGCTCCTCTGTAGTCAATTGTTAAATGATAAAAAATAATTTGAAAACAAAAGTGTTAATATGGCCTGATATCTTTGGTAGCACTAAATGGACATTCTCTTGGGCATCTGTAAAACCCAACATTGTCAATGGGAAAATGCGTGTTGAAAAAGTTAGACCTACAACACGTATTGTTGTCTGTATTCTTGATAGCTGCCATTCTGCCTGGCATGAGATGAAATCTTAGAGTAGTTTTGATTTGTATTTCTCTAATTCTAGAGATGTTGAACATTTTTTCATATATTTGTTGATTGATTATATATCATCTTCTGAGAAGTATCTGTTCATTTTCTTGGCTCATTTATTGATTGGGGTGTTTGTTTTTTGAGTTCTTTATATATCCTGGAGATTGATGCTCTATCTATTTGATACATGGGTGGCAAAATTTTGCTCCCCAAATGTAGGCTCTCTCTTCGCCTCATTGGTTGTTTCTTTTGCTGAGAAGAAGCCTTTTAGTTTGAGACCATCCCATTTATTAATTCTTGATTTTATTTCTTGTGCTTTAGGAGTCTTGTTAAGGAAGTCTAAGTATTGGTGAAATGCAAATCAAAACTACTCTAAGATTTCATCTCACGCCAGTCAGAAAGGCAGTTATCAAGAATACAGATAACAATAAGTGTTGGCAAGGATGTGTGGGGGGAAAGGCACACTCATACATTGCTGGTGGGACTACAAATTGGTGTAACCAATCTGGAAAGCAGTATGGAGGTTACTTAGAAAACTTGGAATAGAACCACCATTTGACCCAGCCATCCCACTCCTCGGTCTATACCCAAAGGACTTAAAATAAGTATAGTATAGTAACGCAGCCACATCAATATTCATAGCAACTTAGATGTCCTTCAATAGATGGATGGATAAAGAAACTGTGGTATATACACAATGGATATTACTCAGCATTAAAAGAATAAAATCATGGCATTTGCAGGTAAATGGATGAAGTTGGAGAATATCAAGCTAAGTGAAGTTAGCCAATGCCAAAACCAAAGATCAAATGTTCTCTCTGATAAATGGATGCTGATCCAAAATGGAGAGTGGGGAGGTATGGGAAAAATGGAGAAACTTTGGGCAAAGGGGAGGGAGGGTGGGGAAGGTGCATGGGGGCAGTAAAGATGTTGGAATGAGGTGGACATCATTACCCTAGGTGCATGTAAGACTGCACATAGGGTGTGACGCTACATTGTGTACAACCAGAGAAATGAAAAGTTGTGCTGTAATTGTGTACAATGAGTCAAAATGCATTTAGCTGACATATATACCTAAGCAAAATGAATACATTTTTAAAAATAATAACAATAATAATAATAAAAGTTAGACCCACAAAATGCAGACTCTCTGTACAAAGGTCAGCCTCCTGTCTCCAGGGGAGGTCTAAGGATTTCCCAGAGAGGGAAACCTCTACTCAGGGGAAAGGGGTTCTTGACAAACATTGCAGAGGTGAAATTAAGGATGTGTCAGTTAGAGGCAAGGAAATTTATTTGGGAAAGCAAGGAATATCCTTTGGGTGAGATTTGCAGCCCGCTTGAGAGTGAGAGAGTTTGGGGGTCTGGGCTCTTCTTTTAAAGGAAACATGGTGAGGGGTGAGCATAGGAAGGTAGGTGGGGAGGACATCAGCCTGGTGATCAAAGACAGTTCACAGAGTCTGGTCTCCTTTCTCCTAGGCTGGCGTGGCCTCCGTTATCTGATCAGTAGAGGACATTGGTAAGTACCCCAGAGCATAGCTGTCCTAAAATATCACATCTCTCTTTGCTTGATCAACTCATTACATGGGCTGATTAGCAGTGCACAAGGTAATTTTCATAAGAGGGTGAACTTACGGTAACTCTAAGGCTTACTGATTGGGCAGAAGTTTGTGAGTGACAGGCTGGGGAGAAACGGCTTAGGAGTGAAGGTCTGAGGACCTTTAACACGGGGCTTTAGATCACAGTCCCATTTCCTTGTCCTTCCTCGGGTCTCCACCAATCTTCTCTATTTCTTCTGTCCCCACTTGGGTCAAGCCTCTTCGGGAATTGGTTGGTGGTTCTCGGTCCCTCCTGGCTATGTGGCTTTGGTCCCGGACTCCGTGTCAGTGACGATCAGGTTTCCTCGGACCTGATTCCAACTGGACTTTATTGTGCTAGCTGTTGTTAGTGCAAGCCGACACCTCGTGTTAAATACACACAATTTGTTCCTGGTTCACTTCACACATGCTTTACTAAGGGAACTGGTGAGTGGCGATTCCCATCCAGGAAAGGCCTACGGTGATGACGGCTTCTCACTGTCGACACGTGAGCTGGTGATGAGAAGACTAGGCCCGCGTGGAGGTAGCCTGTCCAGCCCCTGTAATCAGAGCGCCTCCACCTTCCTTTAAGTCCCAACCTGTCATCCGCCTGGCAGTGTGTAGCCGGCTGGCTGGTGTTAACCCACTTCTCCTGTCTCTGTCTCATTGTGCGATTCTGCATCAGCTCCTGGGTAACCTGCCAGGCCAGAAATGAGGTGTCTGTGAGCACGCATCCTCTCTGCACCCGATGGCCAAGCACATGTGACGCGGTAGGTTGAGTCTGAACCCAATACTATAAAAGCCCCTTTTGCAATATTTAAGATAGAATATGATAGACATTTATGACAATCACCTTGAATGATTTCAAAGCTCAATTGGGGGGTGAAAATAGTGAATGAGTCGACAGCTTCCCTTTGTATTTTAGCGACGGGTCCTTGGTTGGTGATCAACCACATGTTGTACTGGGAATCTGTCCTTTTAGAGTAGCGGTATTACTGGAAGGGACTTGTGCTTGATTCTAGCTGCTGGATGAAGGTACTGTCCTTCATCACCTAGATTCATCAGCCTGTCAAGGAACCCTCACCTCTCTGACAGTTCCTGCCATGACATTTCAATTCCCACTGTCCCTGGCTCAGAATATGGCCTCTGGCAGAGCCCAATGGCACACTTGTTGTTTCCCCCCTTTTGGTCATTTAGTGATATCACTAGGCAGCCACTTCGGGGTTTGTAACACCCTTAATGCTTCCCCATGAATCCCTGTAGTCTCCACCTCTGATGGCCACACAGGAATGTCACTAGAATGCTGATTCGGTGTCATTATCCTTACTTCTACCAGGCATAAATGCAGGAGAGCTCAGAGAAGTCTCAGGATACATCTTAGGTGCTTCCTATTAGCAAGGGAACTGAGCAAACAACTAGGTTCTCACTTTGGAAGCCTTCCCATTGCAAAATGGTACCCTTTTGCCAAATATTCTAGTTATTGTGGAAAAAGTGAGCAATGCAAATTGGCTGGATGATGTCAATGGAAAGACCTCAGCCGAGTTGCTGTAAATTCAACAGCACTTCACACTGGAGAAGTGTGAGAGTAGAAAGGGGGTGTCACGACTCCTGGTCTCAGCTGGGACCCCATCTTCCTTGGCAGGCTGGGTGCTCATCAATGGGGCTTTGCCTGGAGGAGCCTCAACAGTGTAACAGATGACCAGGTGGAACAGAAGGGGACGCTGCCCCTGGACCTCTTGTCCCCCATCATGCTCATGACATCCAGAGCCCTTGGCAGCCTCTGGAGGATCCACACAGAACAAAGTCACCCAACACTTGGGTCCTTGGCTTTGGGACATGCCCTCACAGACTGGACATGGAGGGACTGGAATCCTTTACCCACTCATTAAGAAACATTCCTGGGCTATTTTACCCTCATGTACTTATTCTGGATCACGTGCTGGAGAATACTTTCTGTCTCTGTCACCCATTCCGTTCCACTGGCTTTGGTTTGCCGTCGGGTTCAGCCCAGCGGGAACTGAGTGATGACTTGCTCTTCCTCCACGTACTTTCTTGGGGAACTTATGGTAATCACTGAACACTTGCCTCACCTCACTTCCCTTCCGAAATCTCTGTGCACTTAGTAGGCACCAGTGATTCGGAGTGCAGTGCTGTGGTTTATTAGTCACCCTGTCGGACATGCACTCCAACAAGGGTGCTTGGATTATCAATGTAGACTCCTTGCAATCTCCTGGGCAAACATCGTTTTGTTTTTCAAATTGCTTTACAGTATATCTCATCTTACGAGTCCACTCTTATTTTACGGTATGGAGAGCAAGAGAGAAACTGGACCTGAAACATAATACTTGCTTCAGGCCACTGACTCATCTACCCTTTCTTTCCAGCAAGGAGAGGAGTTTGGTGGGCCAGGGAAGGAGGAACGCAGATTTGGACTCAGAGAGCCTTGGGTTCAAGTTCTGGATCTGCAACTTCAGACCTGCAGCGAGACCCTTGGCTTCTTGTGATGGTTTTTGCACTAGTGAAACTAAAGGAAATGAGTTCACCTCCCAGGCTTCCTGTGCAGCTGGGACAGGGGGCAGGGGGACTCTGGGTGCCCTGCAGTGGGGCTCCACGGTGAAGGTGGTCACACTCTAGTCCTTCTTGCCAAAAGTGTGCTCAGCCAGCAAGGCAGGTTGCTCACTGTATTTGACCCAAACTCACATCCAGAAATGACCTTATGCAAGTTCCCGGGGGCTCCTTTCTTCCTCTGTTTGAATTATGGGACCAAGAAGGTGTGCACTCAAGCCCCATCAGCACCTGCTGGGTTTTCAACTGTCTGGTTCACGTGCAGAGACCCCGAGCTGCCTTGAGACACCTTCAAGGATTCGCATCCCTTGCAAGAGCTGCTGCTGCTCCCAGGGACAGCTGTGCAGGTCCCATGCATGGTTTTCTGAATCTTTCTTTTCAAATTCCTTGAGGGGTCGAATAGTTTAGATTACTAGAATACATAGAATTTCATCAGCTTGTCCCTAGGAAATTGAGTTTTATCATGCCAATTTTTCTGAAGTGCCTTTCATTGTGGTGATAAGTTACTTAATAATAACTTACTGTAATTGGATGTGTGTATTCCCGGCAATCAAGTGGGAGGGTCTGTCTCCTATCTTGATTATAGAAACTTAAATAATGTTTGGCGCTGCTTGGACAGCCCTTCTGCTCCTGACCCGATGATGGAGCGCTGCCTGTCGACGGCCAGCCAATGCCAGGTGCAGCCGGGTGCCGAGCATGGGAGTGTGGAGATGAGAGATAAGGGGAGGCGTGTGGGTGCTGCTCGCTGTCCTGCTGATGCCTGCGGTCACCAGCAGAGAGTGGAGGGTGAGAACTTCCACTCGTATGATAGGAATTCACTCTGCAGGGCCAACAGAGCCTGGGTCTGGAAGCATGACGCTTGACCTTTCACGGGGTCAGAATGTGAGTTAAGAGACAGCCTGCGTCAGCCAGGCACTTTCTGATGTTTGCAGGGTGTTGGGTTTCCTCCTCAGACTCAGAGAGTGGAGTCGGCTGAAAGCTCCTCTTCTGAGTGGCACACTCTGTACCATGCACGTGTTTACAGGGAACAGGTACTTTCTGACTCTGCATGAAATGAAGGTGTCAGCAGTAACCCCAATCTTTCTTCCTCTGGCTACCTCTACAGGTGGCCCTGAAGAACACAGGCATGCAGAATGACAGAGACGTCTTTGACTCCAGTGTTCTACTTCATCTGTCTGTCCATCCCTCATCCTTCCATCCATCACTTCCTAGTGCATTATCTGGCTTTGCCTTCCTCTTAAAATTGTAGCTGAGCATAACTTCCAATATTAAAAGTTTCCTGTCAGAAGGGCTAAGTAACGAGGTCCTCAAACACACGTTGATTCTGTTGTGAAGAGCAAAACTCAGATGTTCGATCTGAGATGGGACTGGTATTACTATTCTCACAAACAGATAATACATGTCTGTTATGTACACACACACACACACACACATGCACAAATACACGCACGTACCCGCTAGCAAGTATTGTGATAACATAGGACAACTTCAATAAAACATAATTTACTTCCCAAATGGTCTGTTGAAATTGGAGGTTTTTAAATATATTTTTATCTTTAAATTAAAATCAAGCATTGGAGGCAGTCACATTTTATCTCTGTGCTTAACAACACTGATTTAAAAAATGTTCCAGCCATGCCTCTGTAGCTGGTTTCCTGGCTTTTAAGAGGATGTTAGAGAAGACAGCAATGCCCATATTCCTTACATGAACTGCCAAGAACCAACGGGAAATCCCAGAAGGTAGGATGCTCCCGAAATTTTTGGCCTGCTTTCTGCAGAAGTTCATCTTTGTCGCGGGTCTACAGTAACCGAATCTTCTGGATCTTGTTGCATTTGGCAATGTGCCCAAAAAACACTAGTGAGCTTACAGCTTCCAGAAAAATCCAGACTGGATGAGCAAGCTTGATTTTTCTTCTTGAGTCATTATCCCATACAACAAACAAGACTCCTGTCCAAAAACACAGCTGCCTAAGGTCCTGATCGCGACAGCCGCCATCTGTTGAAGGTTCACTATGGGTCATGAATCTGACTGAAGTGCTTTATGTCTACCAATTGGCTTAATTATTAAATTTTTCATGTTTTCTAATATATAACTGTAACAAAGCAGAGTCTGTGACCTCAGTGTTATTCTTCTCAGTTCATAGAAGATTAAACCATGCCTTAAATTAAGTCACTTTCCCAAGGTCAAATCCTGATGGAAGGGCAGAGAATCAAATCCTGTTCTCTCTTCCAAGTGGATGCCCTGGTCACTGCGTCACGGTCACCTGTGCACTCAGTTTAGTGGTCATCTCAGCATCAAGGCACTGCTAGAACTGCCTACACTATGGGGAGAACTAAGTGGCCATCCATGGCCGCAGGCAGTTGTAAAACACCTTTCATCTTTTTCTTTCTTTCTCACTGTGTACAAATGGAGTCATTTATAAGATGATCTAATGACTTGGTTTCACAGAGCTCTATGGGGGACGTTCCTGGGTGAAGAGACAGGGTGTTGGGCAGCTGGTGCCCTTCCTTACTTCTTTCCAGGAGTATTTTTAACATCGTGATGTTATCTGCAGAGCAGGGCTTCCCGGCCCCGACAACTGCATGTTGAAATCACAGGAGAGACTCTTAGTTGCCCGAGTGGGGCCCCAACATGGATCCTGTTTTTAAGACCCTGGGATGATTGGAATGAAGGCAGGTTGGGAACCAGGAGGCAGATCCCCAGAGTGGACGCTGGAAGCAGACCAGGCCGAGGAGCTTGGGGTCAGAGTCCAGTCCCAGCGGCTCTCGCTTCCTGCTGAGCTCTTCTCCCGGCCTTGTTTTGGGCCACTGTGATGACGGTGCCTATAGAAACCTGCTGGGGTCCTGGCTGGACCTCTTCCTGCAGATCTGGATGAGTCACCGACTCTGTAAAGAGCCTCTGAGACCAACAGTGCCCCTGTGGTCCTCAGGATGTGTCTGACTCCCTGAGCTGGCCCTCTGGTCTGAACACAACCCACAATCTAGTTACTCAGATTACCTCTTATTAAGAGGAAAAAAAGATTGTTCTTGGTCCAGAGTACCTACTGGCAGCCATTAGTTCTACAAAGTAAATACCTCAAAAGTCGCAACAGAGCGAACCACCCTGTCTCATTAGCCACTGATGCTACTGCCCCCAGGGCCTGGGCTGGGACAGTTTTCCAGGGGTCAGAAGGAGATGGTTCCCTTCCTCTCCTTACCTGGGCCGCTTTGAACTATGGGGCATGCGGGGAGTGGGTGCAACCAGGGATAGTCATCTTTTTCTACTGCCAGGACTCAGGTCTGTGTAGATGGAGCAGTGGAAGCTAAAGGGACTCTCTGAGCTTGCCCTCTGGCAGGGAGGTTATGGCCAGTTCTTCTAGGGCTCATCCAGGTCAGACAGAAGCAGTGCTTGGCTGGAATAGAAGGTGTGTCTTTGCGGAAACTTGTTGGGTAACACATGAGGAAGGGCACGTGCCATAGGTCTGCATCCTCGGGTCCTGCTGGGCTTGGGTTTCTGAGCTGGGGCTGGAAAGTGCTGTCTCTCCTGGCCCCCCTGCAGTTAAGGGCCTGAAGTCCACCCTTGGGTCCTGACTCCCACACAAGGGTTACTTGCTGTGGGGCCGGGGGAGGATGAAGGCGGTGCAGTCTGGTTTCCATTACATATTGATCCCTCCTCAAAACACACCTCCTCTCCTGCAATCCCTTCTTCTCCTCTTCCAGAATCTGGTGGGTGAGAAACCAGTTTAACCACAACGATCTCACTGAGCCGCCGCTTGGCACTAGAAACTTCGTCTCAGGTTTAGTTTATGTAAACAAGATGGTCACCAAGATGCGATGCTATTTTTAAAATGAAGAAAAAAGAGGGGGAAAAAGTGCCGGGTACTTGTGCTAAGTGGGCAGGGCTTTATCTAATCTGAAATGAAATGAATAAATGAATACCTAAGATCAACAGTCACTTAGCAAACCTCTGTCCAAGTCACAGTGGCCAAAGACAGACATGAAACTGAACCTCAGTCTGTTTTTAGGAAATGGTCATTTTAGGGCAATAACAGTCTAATACAGGGCCTCAGATGATAGCCCCCTGCTCAAATGAAGCTGGACTCCTTATTATTTCTTTTTTTGTGACGTTTCATTGCAACACAACCACATCCATTTGTTTGCGAATTATTGAAGGCTACTTTCCTACTAAGATGGCAGAGTTGTATGGTTGCAGCAGAAAAATGACAGCAAGAACAGTATGAAAATATATAATATCTGGCTTTTTTAAAAGGCAGATATAGCAGATCAAAGATTATAAACCTTGAAATCTTTTTCTTTTCTTTCTTTCTTTCTTTTTTTAAGCTGGGGATTGAACCCCAGGCTTCATGCATGCCAAGCAAGTGACTTACCCCTGAGCTACATCCCCAGACCTAAAATGTACCATTTGAAGCAACCTCCCTAACCTCAGTGAGTAGGATTCTGAAGGAGGCAGAAGTGGGTACACAGCAGGCAGAGAGGAGCTGATCGGATTCTACCATTGGCTTCTTCCTGTACATGGCACATCTGGCTTAGCTATGTTTTTTTAAAATAAATAACTGTCCAACTTTAATTGAGCATCCCCTGTGGGCCAGGCACTCTTCCATACGTAACGGAGATGACAGTGGGCAAAGAACCCATTGCCCAGTTGAATATTCATCTTCTCTTAACCTGGATCTTCTAAGCAAGTGTTAAATATATACTTTGTCTGAAAAGGGCAATACAGGGGTGGGGGGACACACAGAGTGGACGATAGTGATGGGAAGTGGGAAGGTGTGGCTGATGAGGCCACCAGGGACCTGTAGGGATGGGGGCATTGGCCAAGCAGATGAACAGAAAGGGCCTCAGTGGGACAGGTCTCAACAAGGGTCAGTGTTGGGAAGGAGTTGGCAGAGCCATAGGGCAAGGGCTTGAAGCAAGAGATCTTGTGGGGCTTGAAGAACCAAAGAATTTGAAATAAAGCCACTTGTGGCATCTTCAGTGGTCCCCATGTTGAGTGAAGCCCTACCTTTTAAACTCCTTGCCCCCACGTGTCTATTGGTTTGTCCTTAGAGAGTACTGCTGCAGACAGGGACGTGCTGAGGGGCAGGGTGTGGTGTTTCCACAGCTTCCTCCATGTGAAAGCCTGGCTCACGGCAACCCTAGGTCATTATCAATGTGGCAGAAGCCAGCAGCAAAGTGACAGCGAGAACAGTATGCATTTGGCATCAACTTCCACTTGACTTGGGAAGAGTGTAACGGTCACATTTCTGGTTCCCTAATGACATTTTCTTCTTGAGTAAATAACCAGGAGCCACTGAGTAAAGTGCACCATTCAAGCCTCACCTGCACGAAACAGTGGCCCATGAACACGCGTGAGCTAGAGGGGACCAAGCCCGGAGGCGCCAGGAGCTCTAGGTGCTCACTGGCCTCCCACAGGTCATCTTGCTTGGACAGAAGAAAGCAGTTTATCACACACGGACCCTGAACACCTGTGTGCATTGAAAAGTGGTGTCATAGGTCGCAGGTAGAAATCCCCCATCACTTTGATGGAACATTTGCCAAGATTTCTTCAGGGAGTTGCTTCAGCACATCATTGTAATGACTTGGGTAGCTGAGGGCTGGGGCTGGGAGGCCAAGTTCATGTACAGAAGATGGACATTCTACTGAGCTGCCCAAGACCTCTGCGCTCACCAGCAGACTGGAGGTGTCTGGCAGACCACATCCAAAGACGTGGGCTCACCCTGCCCACTGGTGGTTTGAACTCCGAAACCCCAACCTTTGCTGAGACTTCTGGAACAAAGCCACACAGCACATGGGAAGGTGACCAGGGTGCTTTGCACTTGGGGAAACTGCAAACCTGAAAACTCTCAGCAAGAAAAACATGTCTTACCAAAGTGCAAACCAGACCCTTGGCATCCACTCTCTGTGACGCAGGGCTCCCCGGCTGGCAGGAAACCACAGTAAAGAACTGATTATGCTGCGAGAACACATTCCACGGGCCGTCCAAGGCTATTTTTATTTTACAATAAGGTACAATATGTTCCATGATGTTCTCTATCCTGACATATTTTTTTTCTGGTATCTACATACTCATTAATTTTGGTAAATCACAGAGAATCTGCAATTAATTTAAACAAATGCACCAGATTGGAGAGCGTTGATTAATTTCAACAGCAACAATAATACACATGTGTAATTTTTATTGCAATCAGAACACCCATGGCTGCTACCCTAGGTTGACTATGAAGGCTGCTTATGGAGAGGTCATTGCAAGAAACTGAGTCTCAGGAAAACAGAGTTTTACAGACCAAATACCAGAGTATGATGTTCACTAGCAAAATGAATGTATTTTTAAATCTCTCTCTTTTTAAAAAACTTTGTAAAGAGAATTCTATCTTAAAAGTAGTGTTTGGTCAAGTGTTACTTGGTCAAAATGACTAAATCCACCTCATAGAGTGTTCCAGGAACCTTACCCATAAGAAAATAAATGCTTCTGTTTTAACTTAGACTCCATAAAAATTAAAATTGTTTTGGAAGAAGGAATGGCTTCCCTGTAACATGATGGATATTCAACAGCTCAGATGGATTTGGCGGGCAGCATCCATCCACCTCGAAAAGGAAAACAGAAAACAGGGGTAAGATGACTCCTGAGGCCCAGACCATGCGCTCTTACCCAAGTTCAAGAAAAACTTCCTAGCTAATGCTTAACTTGTTATCACAACCCCTTTTGATTTTCCAGAACTTCCTAGCTATTTTTTAACCATTTCCAATCAGAAAAATGTGACAGATGGCATTCAAAGCCAGCCACGAGGTCTCCAAGCCCTCGACTTGATGAACTTGGCAAATTCCTCCTTGTTTTTATCCTTTGCAGACTTTGAAAAGTCTAGAGGTCAAAAGGGGTTTAGCCATCTGCAACGTCACGCCACGGTCAAAGTCTACGTTTCTGGATGGTCATTTCAAAAGAAGAAAATAAGAGATGGGAAATCGGTCATCAGTGTAACAAACAGGCAGGTCCTGCGAGAAACAGAGGTGGCGGGGGCAGGCAGACAGGACACACACTCCCAGGTTAAAAAAAAAAAAAGTCACATTATCAATGAAAAGGAGAAGGAGTAGGCTGTGCACCCCAAACGACAAGACCTTTAAGGAACCCTAGTCAAAATATTTCTCATTTATGCAAATTTACACCTCATAAGAAAACATAAATAAACCATGATTCTTGTCCTAATTTTTTAACATCAACTTTGCTGACAAGATCAGGAAACCCTGGCCAAACATCTGCATCAAATGATAAATTCACAGCAAAAATGTCCTTTTTCCACTGCAGGGCAGTCGCAGCACGCAGATGGCAGGAACGCCCTCTGTTTTTACTTGGCGCAGGGGAGAGGGTCCAAGCCGATGTCCCCACTGAAGTGGTAGCACGTTCTTTGTACCCAGATTTATTTTTTAAGATAAGGCCGGAGCCTGGGCCTTTCTCGGTCTTCAGCGTGCCCCTGGGCCTGCAGCAATCTCGCACCTCTAGATGGTACCTTGTTCGTTTTTTTAACTGTTATTTTTATTTAGCTTTTATAGAGTACCAAAAATGTGGTTGAAATTAGTACCTTTTCCTCCTTTCCAGCTACAATGGAAAGTTTTGTTTAAGCTCTCCAGAAAAAAAAAAAAGAGTGTGGGGGGAATAATGGGGGAAAATAAATCCGAATCCTAGAAGAGGCTTTCAGGCTCCTGTTTTCAGGTTCTGTGCCACGGAGTCCTCTGGGCTGCTAGCGGGTGCTCCTCCGGGAGCCAGGATGCCTTCGTGGAGGGCCCTCGTTATAGGATTTGTGTCCTTTCTGGCTAGGTGGCTTTGTGACCTTGGACTGGTCACACAACAGCATCCTGGGAACTGAGTGATGATTGCAGACATCAAAGTTGTGATATCAATGTCCAAAGAAGTCTCTGGGTGAGTCCCTAGAGGTAAGTGTGGATACGTCCCCAGATCCACTGGCTCCCCAAATACTACAAACACGAACAGCTGGCTCCAAAGGCTCCTCCTGCAGCTCCGGGCAGACAAGTCCTCCTCCCTCCTCTGGGAGTGAGCTGATGACCAGCTTCCATGGCCCAGAGGAAGAGGCTCATCTCTGCAGATGGACTTGGCCCAGAAACCGCAGGCCTTTATGGCCACCTTGCACATCCACTGGCATGCCTTTGACTTATAGATCTTCCCAAGTGGCTTGGTTCCCCACTGCAGGACCATTTGTAAGCAGAGAGTTACATCCTCCTGAGTAAGAGAAAGGGGAAAGACCCAGAGAGAGGAGGCCGCTTCCCTGTGTCCTCTTTCCACAGCAGGGCCTGGGCAGAGTGTTCTGGAAAACACTTTATCACATCGTTCTCACTTCTTTTTTTCCTCCTCTCTTTTCCTTTCACTGGGGAAAGTTTCTCCCCCTATGAAGAGTCTTTCAGGGGTTCCTCCTGGGGTTTAAAACATGATAGTCTCCAGCCTGGAAGTCAGAATTGGCTGTTTCTTTTTATGATTGTGCACTCCTTCCGTCTCTCCAGCTAACAAAAGGATGCACCGTGTGATCGGGCTTTAGGGTGCCTGTGTGGCATGCTTGGCTTTGCCACCGGATAGATGCTCCAGGTCCTGCTGTGGCCCAAGGGCATCTCTCAGGTCCCTCCTCATTGCTTTGGAAAGGGCCATGAGACGGTGGCTCCCAGGACCTGGCCATGGATGGAAAATGGGCCTGGATCCCTACATCTCCTAAGGAACCAGGACCCAGCAAGGACGTGCTGTTGGGTGGGTGAGGCTGCTGCTGCTGCCTGCTCAGCCAGCCTCATCCTCAACTCTTTCTGTGCCAACAGTCCTCCCTCGGGGCAGTGCAGGCCTTGAGGTTCAAGCAGAACAGCATGGAGATGAGATGGTGTAGGAGAGTCTGACCCCTTGTAGACGTCGACAGTTTCCAAGCCCACCACTCTGCCTTCTGCTTTTGCCCAACATCCAGAGAACTGGTGAGAAGGCCAGGTGCTCCCTCCATTGGAACTGAAGGCACGTTGGGCCCCAGCAGGCCCTGCCCAGGTGCGGGAGCCCTCTCTCTGCCTCATCTCCATCTGCAGTGAATGCCAGGCAGCCACTTGACCCTATCATCAAGCTATTTTCAAACTGTCTCCGAGTCTGCCCTGCCCTCTCTCGAAACCCTCTCCGCGTGAGTAATGGCTTCCTACTCCTGGTGGACACATGTGGTGCATCAGCCACAACAGGTGAACCCAGCTTTGGCTGAGGGCTTGTCCTGCCTCTGTGGTTCTGTCTTGGACATGACCCGTTTGTCCATCATCCTTTCCCTTCTTCCTGCCAGTGATGGACTGACCAGCCTCTTCACAAGGAGCAAGAGCTGGTGCTACCGGTGACCGAGCAGAAAGTCAAGAGGAGCCTGGGGCCTGATGTCCTGGTGAGTTACCCTCCCCTGCCCAGACTGCCTGATTCTGGGCCTCTCCAGCCATGGCAGACAAGCTGATTTTGTTCATCCACCTGTCCTGAAGGTAGTTCCAAACACAGGCTTTACAACGCAATCATTTCATGACCTTAGGAGTAAAAATGGGTATTTTTCCTGGAACAGTGAAGAGGAGAAAAGCACATTTCTCCCCCACCTAGGACTAAGCCATCCCCTGTGGAAGGAAGGACCTCGTAACTAAGGACAGTCACTGGAAATCACTTTTGAGGAAGCAAGGCTGCATAAACTGACAGGGATCCTTCCTCATGGGTTGGAAATGGTCTGAAAATATGCGTCCTAGTCAGCTTTCTTTCACTATCATGAAATACCTGAGATGGTCAACTTACACGGAGGAAAGCGCCACAGTTTGGGGGATTCTGGTCCAAGGTCTGGCAGACCCGTGGCAGTGGACCTCCAGTGGTTATGCTGAGTGGCCATGAAGTGAATGAACAGTGAGGGACAGAATGCTGCAGTTTGTATGTTTAATGTCCCCAAAGGTTCATGTGTTAAAGTCTTTGTCCCCCAGGTACTGCTATTGAGAGGTGGTAAACCTTCAGGAGGTGGAGCCTCGGGGGAGGTCCCTGGGTCATTGCAGGGACATCCTTGAAGGAGGCTGTGGGACCCTGGCCCCTTCCTCTATCTCTTTGTGCTCCTTGGCTGATGAGGTGAGTGGTTTTGCTCTGCCACGTGCCACCACCATGATGTGCTCTGCTTGAGCACAGGGAAGGTGATCGGGCAACACACCTAACCTGCCTGATAGGCATCCTCTACCTGGATGGCTCAGTCATGAGTCACAGAACACCTCTCTGTTGCCAGCTGTGCATCTGTTTACATTCTTAGACTTGTCAAACTTAAGATGCTGAACAAATCCTAAAATTAGGAAATATAAAACACTATAAAAGGCATTTGCTCATTATTTCCAAATACCATGTCTTTATGCATAAACCCATATTTTTTTGAGAGATTTATGTAGGCATAAAGCAACTCTCTAGTCATACCACTGTCAGGATTCCAGTTGGTTCCCCCTAACCATGGGATAGCTGACATTGGAAAAGTTGTGATAGTTTCAATGCATCTTTGCCCTTCCAGAAAGTGACCCCAGATGTAAAATTGTCATTAAGGACTTGGACTTAGTCCTGGGTGACTCTTTGAACAGATAACAACGTCATGAAGTCACTTAACTATCAGTATTAAATCTTGCTAGAAACGAAGTTGTTTCTTTTTGATCTACCAGGAACTCAGGGTAATTATTTTACCACACTATATACACTTTTTTATTAATAATTTAATCTGTGCCTTATAATTTATAAAAATGTAGTATCTTTGTCAATGACAGACACAGGAGGTAGCAGAGAGAAAAGCCATTGTGGAGTAAGGAGATTATACCAGATTGTGGCCTAATTATACAAGGGGCTCATGAAGAGAATTAGAAAGGATAAATGAGAAAATTAACACAATAAGTTCTATAAATATGCATTATCTCTCTGCTTCCTTAAAAGACATAAAACTATATAAACTTTATATATAACAATATATTATTAGGTTAGGTTTGTAGCATATTTAAAAACAGTGTATACCATAATATAAAAGGGAAGCTGAAAATATGCAGGAAACATGTTTCTATATTTCACTGGTATTAATATAAATCTAAAGTCAATTCTGACAAATTAAGATACATTCTGAAGGCCTACAGCAATCACTAAGAATGAGAATATTTATTAAAAATCACTAAAGGGATTAATATCACACTAAACATATGCATTTAATACAATCCAAAAATAAAGGAGGGGCACAGGAACAGAATGTGACATGCAACAGAGCAGGTAAAATGGGAGACACAGATGCAAACAAATCAATAATAACATTAGACACAAGTGGCTTAAGAGTGAAATCAAAAGGCTGAAACTATCAGATCTGGTTTAAAAAGACCCAAGAAGATCCAAGTACTTTCTATCCACAAAAAGGCAAAATGTAGATTCAGAAGTAGAAATAGGACAAAAGTCAAAGGATGAAGATGTTAATCACAAGGGAACTGGAGTGGGTATGCAAATACCAGCAAAGTAGCCTTTAAAACAAAATAACATTATTGGAGAAAAAGAGCCCATGTAATAATGAGAAAAGGGTCTATCTATGAGAAAAACATAGCAATTATCTATGCACTTAACAAGAATGTCCCAAAATACATAAAGTAAAACTTGAAAGAATTAAAGAAAGAAATAGACAATTCAATAACAGTAGTGAGAACTTAAAACTTCACTTTCAATAATGTATACAACAACTAAGAAGAAAACTAAACAAGATATAAGATTTAAACAACAGAACAACAAATTACAAACTACAACTAACAAACATCTATAGACCACCTCACTGGACAATAACAAACATACTTTTTTTTTTTTTTAACCAGGGACACATTTTTCAGGATAGTCCATATGTTAAGCAAGGAAACAAGCCTAAGTAAAATTTAAACAGTCTGAAGTCATGCAAAGTATGTTCTATGAACACAGTGGGTGAAATTAGAAATCAATAATAGAATAAAATGGTAAAAATTCACAAATATGTAGAAAGGAAACTTCTTCTTCTTTTTTTTTTTTTTTTTAGAGAGAGAGAGAGAATTTTAGTATTTATTGTTTTAGTTTTCGGCGGACACAACATCTTTGTTTGTATGTGGTGCTGAGGATCAAACCCGGGCCACATGCATGCCAGGTGAACGCGCTACCGCTTGAGCCACATCCCCAGCCCAAAAGGAAACTTCTTAAATCATCAACAGGTGAAACAAGAAATCACAAAGGAAATTAGTAAATCCTTTGAGATGCATTAAAATAAAAATACAACATGCTGAAATACGGTATGCAGATAAAGCAGTGCGTAGAGGAAAATACATAGCCATAAATACCTGCATTAAAAAGATTTCAAGGGCTGGGGTTGTGGCTCAGTAGTAAAGTGCTTGCCTCGCATGTGTGAGGCACTGGGTTCGATTCTCAGCACCACATATAAATTAATAAATAAATAAAGGTCCATCAACAACTAAAAAAAAAAAAAAAACCTGGGCTACCTTTTAAAAAAAAAAAGATTTCAAATCCACAACCCAAACTTTACCCTAAGACACTGGAAAAGTAAATGTCAGCATAAGGAAGTAAGAAAAAAATTAGAGCACTAATTAATGAAGCAGAAATTAGAAAAGCATATAAAAAAATCACTAAAAACAAAATTAACCAAATTTTAGCTCAACAGACTAAGCAAATAAGAGAGAAGACTCAAATTATTCAAACCAAGAATTAAAGAGGGAACATCACTACTAACCTTACAGAAATAAAAAGTACTATAAGAAAATGGTATGAAAGGATAAGGTCATTGATGAAATGGATAAATTCCTAGCTATAACTGACTCAAGAAGAAAGAGAAAATTAAAAATTTGAGTAAACCTCTAGCAAGTAGAATGATTGGATTACTAGCTAAAAACTACCCCCAAAAGATCTCAGGCCCAGATGGCTTCACTAGTACAGTCTACTGATTACTTACAGAAGAATTATTAGCAATCTGTAAATTATTCTTTGAAAAAATATATGTATGTCCCAAATGGGAAAAATATACTAGAGATAGAAAGAAGATTGGTGGCTGCCCAGGGCAGGAGGGGTGGGCAGCCAGGGGCAAGACAGGAGCAGAATGGCTCAGAGGTATCAGGTTTCTTTTTGAGGTGATGGAAATGTAAAATTGATTGTGGTGATGGCACAACTCTGTGAACAAACCAAAACCCACTGAATCCCACACTTCCAAGGTGCAACTTGTCTGGCAAGTAAATTGTACATCCAATGAAGGTGTTAAAAATCTAATTTCTCAATGGGCACTGGAGGCTGAGACAGGAGGATTGGGAGTTCAAAGCCAGCCTCAGCAATGGTAAGACACTAAGCAACTCAGTGAGATTGTGTCTCTAAATAAAATACAAAATAGGGCTGGGGATGTGGCTCAGTGGTCGAGTGCCTCTGGGTTCAATCCCTTGTATCAGAAAAAAAAAGTTCCAATTTCTCTAGATTATTCATGTTGTGTGTGTTGTGGTACACTGGTATTTTTAGAAAAATAATTTACTAGAGCAGCATTTATCCATATTGTCACATTGATATTTTGGGCCCTAGTCCTTGCTTATTGAGGAAGATGGGAGCTGTCCCACATGTTTCAGGAGTTCAGGGGCATTCTGGGCCTCTGCCCACTGGATTCCAGAAGCATGTCCCCAGAGGCTGACAGGGAGGGGACGGGATCTGAAGCCTTCAGCTCTCACTAATTCTCCATAGTTGTAGAAGTTAAACATTCTCCCCTTTTTCTCACAACAGGCTGAAGAATGGATTACTGCTATTACAGTCAGCTGGTGTCCTAGAGATCAAGGGACCCCCGTTAGGAAAACAGTTGAGATGTAATCCTTCCTCTGCACAAGTTGGGACCTCATCTAAGTCCCCATTATTACCATCATCCCTGGTAAATGTCCAACAAAGTACACCTGGACCTCAATTTCCTCAAGCAACACATTCATGGATTTAACCAACCATGAATGAAACTGTTTTTTAAAAAATGCATGTGTACTAAACGTGTACAGATGATTTTCTTGTCACTATTCCCTAGACAATACAGTATGACAACTATTTATACAGCACTTATATCAGATATTAGATACAATCTAGCATTGATTTTGAAGGACACTGTGGAATGTGCCTAAGTTGTGTGCAAATATTGTGCCATTTTATGTAAGGACTTGAGCATTTGCAGAATTTGTATCCATTGGTGGTGGGGGAGCAGGGGGGCCTGGGGGCTGGGACCAGGAGGCCAAGGGACAAATAGATTAGATTAGATCCCCACACATTCAGTACAATAATCCTAAATAGAAAGTGTTTGGAGAAATAAAAATGCTTTCTCTGTTGCCAATGTTGACTTGGTAATAACAGAATGAATATCATTGATACTTATGCACAGAAAGAAAAACCCAAATAAGATTTCATAGAAATTCAAGAACAATGTTTGATGAGAATTTCGTTGTTTTTGGTTTCTTAGCCATCAGGATTTTAATTTGTATTGAAGAAGCTCAACAAAAACTCCATCAATTTGAAGATGCAAATGTTGATTGGCAAGGAAAGCCAGAGGGCACGTGCCTCACGCCACCGCGGTCCAGCACACAGGTGGGAAAAAAAAGGGACAGGTGGGGAAAATGAGGCACAGAGAACCCAGGAGGAACCCAAAGCAGAATCGCAAATCCTGGAATGCGGCAGAAAGATGGGCAGATGGGACTCCACGGTGTTGGGTCAGACAGTGGTGAAGGAAATGGACCACCTTCTTTCACAAAGGTCTGCAGCAATGGGACAAGGGAAAGCAAAGAGAACACAGGCCCACGTCAAGGAGAAGTGCCCGGGTTTACCCAGCCTGAGCCGCAGACTCCGTCCTGGGCCTGGGCAGCGCTCACCGTGATGCCCTCCCTCCATATCAAGACAGTGGGATCCACAGGGAAAGTCCTTCCACAGCCCTGACTGAGCTCCCAGGCTGCAGGCATGTCCAGCAGAGCCCTGGGGACGCTGTCTGAAGGTCAGGTGGGGGCAGCGGCTCGGGGTCTGCAGCCTGCCTCTCCAGGGCCAGCAGTTTCCAGCTCAGTGTCCCTCTGCTTCCTGGCCTTGCGCCAGGCTTAGTTTTCTCTGTCAACCCATCCCACTCTGAGGCCTGATGTCGAAGTCGTCCCACCCTGAGCCAAATCCTTCCCATCACCCCTCTTTCCTTTTCTGATGACGGTCCAACATGGGAGCATTCCAACCGGCGGTTCTGACCTGTCCCTCCGTGGCTGGGTGTCCAGTGGGATCTCAGGTGAGCAGCTCCATTTGTCCAAGTCAAGGCATCGAGACTGGGTTTGAAAGATTGCTCTTCTCCACGACTTCCTTGCCTCACAGGGGACTTGTGCCATCCTTGGGACGGCACCAGCTGTTTTAACATGGCCCACAACATTGGGAGACATGAAGGTGGGGCTCTCACTCTCTCAAAGTGGGGGCTGCTGGCTCAGGGGCCAGGAGTTCCTCTTAAGAAAAGGAAAAATCCAGGTAATTCCGTGCAGTGGCAAAGCAGACTGGGAATGAGTTTTGTTGTTTGTTTGTTTGGGGAGGGAACACTAGTTTTATTCAGTGAAATGGTGCTTTACCATCAAGGAAAGACTACCTGGTGGAATGTTCCAGAACAGGCAGACTTTTGACCCCCTCTGCTGCTTATGACCTCTTGTTCTCTGCTGTCAAGAAAACCACTTTTTTTTTTTCTTTTGAGGAAATTGAACAAAATTAAATGGAACTGTGTGGGCAGACAACACCTCAGTGTGTTATTGGGGACAGATTAGGATCTATAGGCTTCCTGGACGACCTTGGATTTCACACAGCTCAGACACTTCAACACAACCCTGCTTTAAGTGACGAATGGCTTCCTGCATGCAGGCCCTGCCCTGGACACTGGTTAGAGCCACACCATCTGCTGGGCACTGGTAGAACCACATTGGCTACTGCAAAACATAAGACTGTTTTCCTGTGGTCCTCTCACAAGAAAAGTGAGGCCTCAGTATTGGTGGGCAAATTGAGAAAACAAAACACATATAACTTGTCATTTAGAAAATGGAGAAGGCCACCTGATGTGTTACACTGAGTTTTCAGAAGAGAACATATTACACGTGTTAGCCCTCCAGCTCACCTTTATGCTGAATTTAAGAGAGTATCCTTTGGGATATCATAACAGCCTGGGTCAGATGATAAACATCGACCTTCAAATGTCAGGGCAGTGGCCAGAACTTTGGCAGCTTGATTACCTGAAAAAGCTTCACACTGCAAATATTTAGAAAAGCTGCATAGTATTTTTTTTTTCCAAAAATGCATTGGTGATTCTTTATGGAAATATCAGAAACATGTAACCCAATGCGGAGGCAGGTAGGGGTGAAGTGGATTTTGGTTTAAAAAATATGAAAGTCTAATTTTCATGGCCCATAAGAGATAAGAATTGAGATCTTGGAGCTACATAAATAAGAGTGGGAACTGAGGGTCTCTGATTGGGGTATGACTCTGTGAAGATAGGATCAGGAAATTACCTGGGCAGCAGAACAGGATTATAAGGAAGTCAGTCTCTTTGTGCCTGAATTCAGGTATGAAGAGAGAAATCTCCCCCAAATTCATAATACAGCCCTTTCCTAAGCACAGGATCCTGGCTCAAATTCTCACTTCCCACTCTGCCCTGGAATTCCTTGGATAAGAAATGAGTATACTAATTGTTCCATACCTGTGTGTCCCTTTGGAATTTGAGAAAAGCAGAGATAAAATCTCTTTTGAGAAACACTCTCATAACAGAGCACATGGGAAAAAAAGTAAATCTCAATATTAAAAATTAAAATATATGAGGATGAAATATCCTGCACTCAAAGGTCAGCAGGCACAACATGCGTAGCAGTGTTAAAACCAGAGTAACCCGGGATAAATAAATAACAGTCTGAAAGAGAATATAAAGTAAGTGTGTTTAAAATGATTCCAGTTATAGGCTAAAAAATAGATACTAGTAAAAAGGAATAAAATAAACAGATTGTAAAAGAATAAGCTAAATCTTTGAGAAATAAAATGTAATCATTGAAATTAAAAATCTCAATTGGCAGATAAGCAAAGAAGTGATATGGTTGGAGAGAAGATTAGTGATCTGGAAGATACATATAAGGAAGAATACTTAGAACATAGAGAAAAAAATGTAATATATGATATACAACTTCCATGTGTTTTTATAGAGTATTATAGAAAGGAAATAGAAAAAAATAGGGAAGAGTAAACATTCAAATAAACGATTGCTGAGAATTCTCCAGTACTCTTCAAGGACAGATCCAAGAAATATACTGAGTCCTAAACAGGAAAACCACACGTGGGCACATTGAAGTGAATCTACAGAATGCTAAACCAAAGATAAAATAGTAAAAAGCACCAGAGAGAAAAGCAGAACAACTACAAAGGAACAGCAAATTATGTAGTACAGATTTCTTAAAAAATAATAATCAGGAAATGGTGAAATAATGTAGTTAAAATACGCAGAGGAAAAAATATTGCAAAATTTTATATGCAAATAAGCTGCTATTCACAGGCAAGAATGAAATAATATTTTTGTTCACACAAAACCTTAATAAGAACCACAAACTTTTAAATATGGACTTTAATTTTAAAAATTAAACATAAAGAGAATAAAAATATGACAAGAGACTATGGTAAATAAATAATTGGTAAACATATAGGTACATCTAACAAGTATTGACAAGGTAAAATAACTATAGGTGACTTAGGGACTATTTTAATTTGCAAATAAATATAAAATATACCAATGAGGTCCAACTGAACTCTTAGATAACTATTGTATTGAAAGTGGGAGGGAACAATTGGACGTAAAGGAAACTCAAATATTTCTATAGTTGGTAAAAATGGCTAAGAAATTCATTAATATTAGAATCAAGTATGTCTGCTAAAGTGTCACCAAAGAACAGAAGGACAATCTGTAACTTACAAAAAAGTGGAAAGGAAAGGAGGGTGTGGACAGGGATAAATAAAATCTTAATTTGTGGAAGAAAACAGGAGAGGAGAAGAAATAAGTGTCCTGTTTTGATTTTTTCATAGAAAACAGCATTTTTGTTACATGCACATAAATGAGTGAGAAGTTTTGTGTCACCATCTGCTGACATACCCAGGAGTTTAAAAATTAATGCAGTGAACACAGCAGCTGGCAGCACCTCCTTCTACGGCTTTTCCAGGCCCTTTGAGCGTCCCTTGCTTCCCTTCTACACTCTCTCGGTAACATTATTAGCAGGTTTGCTAAAAGCAAACCCATGAACCCTCGCATGGTAATGCCGGTGTTCACCAGGCCGCACGTTCTTGGCTGCCCCGTGGAAGTCAGGAACACAGTCGGCTCCGAGTCTGTGACAGGGAATCCCCTAGCACCAGGGTCTGGATGAGGCCTCGCCAGGCTGACTGTGCTCATAGACACTACTGCCTCCTACTGGTTACCGAGCGGCCATACAAGTCAGTTTCCCCGCTGTGGAGGTGAATGGCAATGACACTCTCCCTAGAGGATGGTTGTGAGGAAGTCACCAGCGCAGCTGGTGTTGTCGTTCATTACTTATCAGTCACACCCCCGAGCTCCATAGATGTATTGCAATAAAAATAAATAATAACAACAATTAATAAAATAACAATGGTAGCAATGATTACTGTTATATTTTTATGATTATTACATGGTGTATGTTATGCTAAACTATTCCCACATGCATGTTGGTTTGGATGCTGAAGGTCCCCTAGAGTTAGATGAGTTGAAGACTTGGTCCCAGGTGGCACAACTGGGAGGTGCTGTGGACTCTTGGGTGCTGGAGAGTAATGGAAAATCCTAAGGCCCATTTCAAAGGGAATTGTAGGATCCTGGATCCTTCCTGCCTCTGTTTGCTCTTGCCATGATGTGCTGCCTCATCACAGGCCCAAAGTGATGGAGCTCTCTGTGAGCATCTAAAACTATGGACCCAAATAAACCTTTTCTCTTTTTAAGTTAGTTGCCTCATGTATTTTGTTAGAGTAACACAAAACTGAGTATTATACTGCATATTAACTAATTCATTAACTCATCCTCCAAACAACCACTTTGAATAGTATTTATTACATCCCTGTTTTTTTTAATATTTATTTTTTGCTTAGACACAATACCTTTATTTTGTTTATTTATTTATTTTTATGTGGTATTGAGGATTGAACCCAGGGCCTCGCACATGCTAGGCAAGCGCTCTACCGCTGAGCCACAACCCCAGCCCAACATCCCTGTTTTTATAGATGGAGAAATAAGGGCTTGAGAAGTTAAATTGGGTTGGTGAACTATAGCCTGCAGGCCAAATCAGCCCATGCCCACTAGGTGACACATTGCCTGTATATACAGGGCGACTTCCATGCTGTAGGGGTGGAGGAATTGTGAGAGAGGTATATGTGGTCCATAAACTCAAAAATACCTACTCCCTAGTTGATCCTTTATAGAAAACGTGTGCAGACCTTTGAATTAGATGATCCTTCAAGTGCACACTGGTGAGATGCCACTCTGTAGCGAAATTGAGAGGCATCCTTTCCAGACATGACTTTCAATATTTTTGTAACTTAAGTATTGTATTGTCGTCTTGGGTTTTAAATACTCTATTCCTGGCATGTTCTAGTTACATATAGCTAGTCTCTATAACTTGAAACCCCGAGAATCTCACGTCTCAGCACAGGGAAGTGTATTTCAGTCTCGGGTCAGTGAGGGTGTAGTTGGGCAGGGGCTGATAAGAGGACTCCTCTCTCTGCAGTCATTCTCTTACCATGGCTGACAGATTTGGGTCCCCCTGAAGGTCAACATGCACAATGAAGCGGGTGGAGACGGTGTAAGAAAAGTGTTATCAGTGGAGGCCTTGAGTTCAGACACCAACTCCCAGGGATAGAGAATTCTGAGCAAAACAAGATGACTCCAGTGTCTTGCCAGTCCCGCATCCTCAGACTGCCTGCTTGGATGAGACTTTCCCACAAATAACCTTTTGGTGGAGCCTATATACTAAATGTGCTGAGCCAGCTCTGGGTCGGTCATGCCTTTGCTGAATCACCTGCCCCCACCTTTCCCTCTCTGTGTGTGTCTGTCTTTCCTTCATCCCCCACCACCCCTCATCTGGATTCTGAGCTAACAGCCCAGGTGTGAGTCTACACTTATTCCCAGATTCTGTATTTACACACTTCTCACTTTGTGAGGTTCATGGAGATCTAGACTCAAGGCTTCTTCCCATTGGTTCACAAATACGTAGGTGGTGCCCAGGTCAGGGGACAGTGGCTGGCTGGACACACACTCCCATCGGGGACAAGCTTCTTGTTCCAGGTCTGCCATAACCAGTGTCCTTCCTACGGTCTGTTGCCTGCTGTTCCATTTTTCAGGGATTGCACTGTGTAATCCCCTGCCCAGTGTAGTGCTGGGGCTGGCTGTCACTCTTGTGTGCAGGAGGCTTGCAGTGTGACTCATGGACACAGGATGAGAGTCTGACTCATTCGGGTACAAGTGACAGTGCTGCTGTCCCACTTAATAAAATAATATATGCAAAATAAATATTAAATGATGTGTCTTTAAACAGAAGCAACCAGAAAACGAGGTTCCGCGTTTGTTCATGAAAACATTGAGATCAGCGGTTCCCAGGAAGCTTCCCCTGAATGTCCCACAAGAGCATCATTTGGTATCCACTCAGCGTGGATGGGACTGGGCAGAACACGGCATGTCAACACCTGTGACTCACTGTGTTACATACCAGCACAGTAAATAATAGAGATCATAATAAATAAATAAAAATAATTACATAATTAATTACTTTTCAAAAACAAATAACTTTTGCAGTCATGGCGTCCCACGGATGATTGCTGTTGTGGCTACTCATTCGCGTAAAGGAAGACAGTCCTACAGGAAGAGAACTCTGATCATTTGGTACTTGGAATTTCAGCCTTTTGTTGAGCAAGGCCTAGAGGCAGGCTCTGAAAGTACCTCCAAGGACGTGGACATCATTTATTTCTAAGCTCAGGCACAACTGGCAAATTACTGAGAAGCATTCATAAAGCAACGGTGAAGCAACGGGAAGGACAAATTCGGTTGAGATCTGACTCTGAAAAACCACCTGGGGCTTGCCCGTTGAGTTCCTAGCTTGTGGCGAACATCTGGGTTGAGATTTACCTTCTTTATGGCCTGCTGGGATTAACTTCTTTTGCTGGATCTCCATGAGTCCTAGAAAGGTCCTTGGGCCCCCAAAATGCTGGGGGGGGGGGGGGGGGGGCTGATGAGACGTGTGTACTCAGCTTCTCGAGCACAGCAGAAGCTTAGATTCAGAACCAAGGATGCAGAGCACGTGGCTGTGTGAGACCCAGGGCTGAATTTTGTTCCCCAAGAGAGGGACTAGGCTCCAGTACCTCAGAATGACACCTTATTTGGAAATAGACTCCTAGCAAATTATCAGGTTAGGATGGGTTTATCAGGGAGGGCCCTAGCTCAATACGACTAATTCTTATCAAATAGGACATCTGGACATGCACAGAGGAGGACAAGGGAGAAGGGAGCACCCAGAAGCCAGGGATGCCTGAGGCTGAGCCTAACCCACCTCCTCAGCTAGAGGGGTCCACTCCTCCAGTGAGTGGTGACCTGCAGGGTCCGGGAGTTGTTCCTCCCTCTTTCAGCTCATGGTCTTTCTGATGCCCAAGGGTACATATGGCCTGCTCCCCTACATTGGTGGCTGTCAGTCCAGGCCAGGTGGCACAATGAGGAGCAGTGACATTCTGGGGGTGTGTCCTGAAATACTGACACATTTAGTTAGGACCCAAGAGCTAAGCCTGGAGGAAACACCACTGGTTACGTGTGGGCAGCGTGAAGTAACAACCAGGAAAAGAGGCAGAGCAGACCCTCGGGACCGCTTCTGAACCTGTCTGTGGCTCACCTTTGGCCCCGGGGTGACTCGGTTAGTCACAGGCCAACAGGGTGCCCAATCTGTAAGCGAAATGTGAGGACAGATGTTTTAAAGAAAAAAATTGCCACTCATGGATTTTAGTTTGTTCTTGTTCACAAATCGACCACTTGCCCAGGGCTGGGTGCCTTGGAACAGTCCCGGATGTGGAAAGAAGTTTTTTTCCTGAGTGAATCCACTTCCGGGGCCTGAAGCCAGGGCCCTAGGTGGGTGCTGTTCTTCCTGATGTGCGTGGGTAGCGGGGGGCGAGAGCAGGGGCTGCATGTAATAGCTTGCCATCCGGTTTTTCTCAGTCCTGTTGAGTAGGATAAGAATGCTATTTTGAATTGGGCAAAGGAATTCCCAAGCATGTGGTAAGCACAACTGTTTAAATGGCATAAAAGTAAAATTTCACAGAAGGCAGAAAAATAGCAGCTTTCATATGTAGAGTTAGATATATTTCTAGATTTTATTTTGACATGCTTTGTATATATTAATTTTGTATTTTACATTTTGTATTAGTGTGCATTTTATTTATTTACCTATGAGACATGTACATTTTCTCTTCATAGGCTATATATTTTATAATAAGACAGATGGATATATTTTAGAGTAGACTGCAAAATTCAATTTCTTCCCCAATTCTGTGGAGCAAACCCTGGGCCTTGAACATGCTAAGCAAATGCTCTACCACTGAGCTACACACCCAGTCCGACAGCAAAATTCAAACAAATGTTTTAGATAAAAGAAATATTATATGGGCGATGGGCTTCCTAGGTATTTGGTCATTAGGATACTATAATATATTATTAAATTAAGTGAAAAAAAGCACAACATAACTAAGAATAGAACATACACAGAATTTTACAGAAAAGGAAAACGTATACATTGGAAAACACTCCATCTTTGGTGGTCTAGCTGGGTGATTTTTATTTTCTTTTGCATGATCAATTTTAAGTGTCCACATTTTCTACAAAGAACATGGGTATTACTTACACAATCAGAAAAAAATAGGATTCTCTGACAAGTTTTCCATGCACTTTCCTATTTACTTTGTTTACTTTCATTTGCATGTTCATTTTCTGCCTGGTGTTTGAAGCGCATGGTAAAGCCATAAACAGAACTTTCCAGGATGCAACAAATACTATTGCAAAGGAAAAGAACTGTCTTCAGGTATGTCCTCTGTTCCGACCTACGAATGGGCTCTCAAATTCCCTCGCAGTGCTACCAGCAAGCCCTGCTCCAGCTGAGACAGCAGCCGTGGACGCATAGCACTTTGATCATATAGTGAGTGATTGATGTTAATTCCAAGGAGGCTTTCAAGACAGTCTTAGAAACATTTGCTCTGGTGTTTCGAAACGAAAAACCCTTTGATCCCCTGTAGGCTTTCTGCATGGTGGGACAGGACTGCAGAGTTCAAGGGTATGTCTCTTGGCAAGGTCTAACCTGTGAGCTCACCCATCCCCACGGTTCTGGTGCCTGCTTCTCGTGCCAGGTGCCAGGTCCTGATTCTCTGCACCCAGGGAACGTTCTGGAAGCCGTGGCCCTGGCCACATTTGCCTGAAGAGGCAAGAGAGGTGCCTGCAGGAATGGCCCCCTATTTTAGGACAGATACTTTAAAGGAACTGGAAAAACAAATTCTTTCTTACCTCCTCTTGAGACTTTCATTAAGAGTGTTTATTCTTGGATGAAGGGGATTAAGGGAAAAGGTATTTCAGATGTTGGTTCCCTGTTGGATGCTGAGATGCTGGCTCCCAGCTTGTGATGTAATCGTTGTATAACATGAACTCTGCCGAAGCTGTTTAATGTCCCCTAGCTAGGGGCTGCGCTAACTGAAAACAGGCTTCCTTCCCGACACGCCTGAGTGTTGCTTTGGTGGCCTCCACTTAACATCTTCTCAAACTTCTCGTAAGGCAGTTGTTTTCAATAGTTCTTTCCCGTGGTGGAATGGGAGAGAGGACATGACTTCCTGTCATTTGGGAAAGTAAATCCAAGGACAAAAAGGGAGTAGAGTTTCTGGGAAGCAAAGCTTGTAGGATCAAGCAGGATTGGGCGGTGCAGGTG